CGTGGGGCAAGGCGGGGGCTGGGTCCGGGGCATCTCTGCAGAAGGCGCGTAACGCCTGCGCGAAGCCCGCTCCTCTCACAACCCGGGCTGAAACAGGTTACCCTTGGAGACGAATTCCCGTTTGAAGCGCCTGTTTTGTAAAGCTAAGGCTTATTTAGGAACACGTAGTGGTTTATCAGCATTTCACGTGTCCTGCGCGCAGATCTCGCTGGCAGAGAGGACTGCGGGGCCGTTTTGGACGGCAGGTCCCGCTCCCCAGGATGGGAGCACACCGCTTACACCGCGGGCCACTGCAAGCAACCAGACCCACTTTGCACGAAACAGGAGGACGGAAACAGCCACAAAATCCAGTTACCCAGGGTGGACACTCACTGGCTATAGTCCTTTTCCTCCCCTGCGTTTTCCTACCTCAATTCTCATTGCCGTCATGTTCACCAACAGAAAACAGTGATGCAGGAGTTCTGGTCCAGTCCCAGTTTGTCGCAGTCTGCCCTGTAAAATAGCAAAGTTCAAATCCTCTAGGCAGAAATAGCATGCAACCTTGCATTAAAACAATACAAGGTTCACAGGTAAAGATGGCATCTTTCATTTTCATACACAAACATCCTCCCTCAAGTCTGCAATAGGTACAACCCTAATGAAAGGCCATGAAAGCTGCGCCAACATTACGGGTAACGACTGCATTGCAATGCCAGTGCACCCAGCAAGAGGCGCTGCTGATTGCTTGGCTTTGCATTTGTGACTTTCTCTGCAGACAGCATGTACGTACAGTCCACAGTCTGTGCCGCAAACTACTGGCAAACGACCAATTAACTAGGGAAAGGGGGGGCAAGAAAGCTGAACGTCAGCTAGCGTGACGGGGGGAATAGGTATTTCCTACTTTCTTCCCTATCCCCTGGGCCAAAATTTTACTTTTGTGACAAGCAGCACTAACAAAGTATTTAACATCTGCAGACTTCAAATTGCTTTAAAAAAAAACCAAAAAGAAACTAAGTATCATTATTCCCTCTGCAGAGCGTAGGACAGGAGCACACAAGCTGGTGACAGACACAAAAGTCAATCGAAAGAAAACACAAGACTTTGAAGTCCAAGCCCACGCCACAAGGTTCAAAATAGTTTATCTAAAGTAAAAGCATGCCCATATCACACAGACACATCTTTGTCAGGAGGAAGAAAACAAATTGATCAAACCTACGGGGAAGGAAGGAATGCCAGGAATAACGTCACAGTGTGCCAAGCTGTAGATGGTGATACAAGGAGATGATAATAAATCTGATTTATTAGTTTTTGGAATGCTTGTATTTTACGTGACTTGTAAAAAGACAAAGAAAAATACATTCGGTCTCCCGTGGTACTGAAGTACTGACAATGGAAGACCAGAGAATTAATACCCTACCACACTCGTCTATCTTTTTTTGTTAGCATTAGCTTTTCCTCACCTGACTTCAAAAGCAGGGGAACCACTATCAAAATGCTACATATTACAGCTCCGTTCCTGAAGTAAATTAACTCCTTGCATCAGTGTCACACAGAGCCACTGTCCTCAGAGTATTGTAACTGAGCACAGGACCTCCAGGCTCCATGATTAAAAAAGCTAGATTCTCCCACCGAGGTGCTGTGACTTCTTATTTTCTGACAATGTGGCAGTGGTATGGCTTTGCCACTTTTACATATTTTGCTTTCATCAACTATCTACCATACATCCGTGTGGCAAAAGGCTCAAAACTCAAGGAGAATAAAGCAGAACAAAAATAATAGAGACAAGAAACATTCAGATCTCTCAGTCAAAATTTATCCTGAAGGTAAATAGGAACAAGTAAAGGATAATTTTTTTTTTATTTTCAAGACAGGACTTTCTGCCTACTATGACTAATAATTGCATAGCTATGCAATTACCAGTGCTTCTCTGAATTGCGCTATTGATAGGAAGCATTAATCTTCCCTCAAGAACAGGACTCTTCCTTGCCTTTAGTAAAAGAAAGGCCAGTAAGGTGTTTTGTAGAGCTTGAGAAACATTTAGAGGTATTTCTTGTTTTCTATATTAACTATTCCTAATGCTCCTGTGGCATTTTTCCTGATTATTTTCTTTTCTTTTGAGCCAAAGGCAGGGTTTTGGTCTATATAAAACTCTCTTTTTTTCCTCAAAGTACCAAGCCTAATTCTTTCCTCTTGTAACCTGTCTTACACAGATGTAACATCCACAGTTCCTCTGGTGTTACTGCTCAATTCACTGTTTTGAAAGCATGCAAAGAACCAAGTCTAGTCACTTCAGATGAAGAAATAACAGTCTTTTTGTGCATCCAATACATGACAGTAAATGGATTCCTAAATGAGAAAAAAACTGCCCTTGTGCCACTTGTCCTCAAAAAGTACAATGGAAAAAAGGTTAGGGGAAAAGAGAAGAAAACGGGGAAGATCACATGAGAATATAGTTCTACAGTACCACCTAAATACTATGATTGTTAGATCCTTTCAGGCAGACCCACTGTGGAAGAAAAGAGAGTCAGGAAACACATGGCATGCATACCTCCAGACAGAGTACATCTAAGGAAGGATATGATGCTGCTGTGCTATCGCTCCTCTGGCTTCATCAGGGAGGTCACAGGAGCACAAGCAACCAAGAACAGTACGATGCAGCAAGCCACTTTGCTGTCCTAGGCTGGAAAAGGAGGAGATGGCAAAGTAAAAGAATTCTAAACCAAGAATTCACAGAGGTAATGCCATAGAGTCAGAGATCAACAATGTTTTTAACATCTTTTGTCAGGCTATATAGCCAGAACCCAGATTTCAGACAACTGCTTCCTCTTCTGTACTACTGCCAGACATGCTTTAACAATGAACATATACTTTCTATTTTCTGATGAAGATCTCCCCTTTCCAACAAAAGTTACAAAAATGCTCTCATAACCACTCCTGCAAAGGCTCCCTAGGTGCATCGCTGGCAGTATGGATGGACTCCCAGCATGCGTGCCCACGCACACGTACAGAGCAGGAGCAGGAAGACTTAGGGCCACAGATGCTCATGTTAACCAAAGGTCAGAACAAGATATTTTTGGACGTAGACTTTTATTCTAAATATTTAGCACAGTGCCAATGAACAATGCAATGAGCCTTCATTTGCTTCCATAAAACGTTACAAAGAAGATATTTTTACTTACGCGCCAAGAGAAGAAGGTTTATATCCAGATTTTAAGCACGCAGGGAACCTGAGCCTACCTCAGTACTCAGGTAGGCTACTAGTATCCTACCTTTTGACTGTAGGGTTCAGGAAAGTCTCATAAAACTGTCAAGAATTAAAGTGGACTTCATACAAATTTTGTAAAACCTAAAATACAATTCCATTACATGAACTCCATTGAAAGTAATTTTTTATTTGTTTAAAATCAGATTTCATTTGCATCACGAAACAGTTCACATTATTGCTAAAAGATACTGGCAGCTTACAATAGACTAAAAAGATACAACAAACAAAAGCAAAACTAGACTACTTGTAAAACCATACTAGGAGAAACACAAAAGGTCAACATCATGCAGTCAAGCAAAAAGTAAGTACCCTAACAATCAAATCAAATACAAATAATTTAAGATAGCATTCCGAATATATGAAAGGAATTTTTTTAAGAGATATCAATTTATCAGCATATAACCCCTGCATTCAATAGGGCTAGCACAGCTGATGCCACCTGTAGTTCTCCCCCCACCTTTTTATTTTTCTGAACACACCCACTTGATATCCTTGTATTAGATTAATAAGCAGATAAAAACTTTACAGGTATTTTAAGTCATCTTGTTCCTGTTAAGCAAAACAGAATAGCAACGAAGTGATTAGACACATCTGCTCCCAGCACAGTTAAACTGATACAGTTAGCTAATAGCAACTTCCACCATAACTGAACATTAACAGACTTCCATAATGAAAAATTACAAAGGATATTTTCCCTCCGTTGCTCTCCGAAGACCTCTTCAACGAGCTTATCAAAGATAGAGCAAGCATACTCTATCAATAATGTAATACAGCTGTGCCTTACACTTAGTCTGAATTTGTCCATAGTCCTTCCACCATGAAGTATTTTCATAGTTTCACAGAAAGCTCATGCTCCAGATTATTTTGTGGGCTTTTGCCTAAAACTTTACAGTGAAGAGAAGAAACTGGTGAAAAATGTTTATCGTACTCATTTGGGAATAAAGGTAGAGAGATTATTTTTTTCCCCAGCTACAGAACAAAATTTTATCTTTAAAAAAATCAGAAGTTCTAAACTAATGTCATTAAAAAAGTAGGGTTACTGGCATCAAATGCATGTATGGGAAACACATCTCTAAAGATTTTGCCATTAATATCAACAGAAACAAAATGAGATATCTTTCTTACTTTCTATTTATTTTCCAGATCATTGAGTCAAAGAAGGATTATACTTGTGTTACCTATTATACTATCATACTGATCTAGTTTCTAAACACTAAGACTGCACAGAACAGTCTGCAAAGCTAACTGGCACCTGTCATCACAACTTCTTGTGTAAGCAGCCATTTGGGCATTAAACAAACTGCTATTTACAAGTAGATGTGCTCAGTTTGCAGTGTGTGGATTACACAGTACCTCTTTAATTACATGTATAGATTAATTAGGATAGCTGTCAGTTCTTGCATGGTGCCAAAAGCCCTCGGCCTGTAACACCTGTCTTTTCAAACACTTCTATCTGTTTAAACAACACACAATTTGTTAAAACAGGAACTGTATTAAAAATATCCTTCTCCCAGCAATTGGATTGATTCACATCACTAATGACTAGACAATGTTGTTCTGCGCCTCAGCAATGCGCTACTGCTGCCACTGCCTAGGTCCTCTCAGAGCCAGACGAACACTCTCATTGACCTTAACGGAAGTATGACTGACTGCCCCTTCAGACGTCTTACACAGGCACTTACTTCATCGTGCCCCTTCAGACGTCTTACACAGGCACTTCATCTCATTTCTGCAGTACTTTTATGCTCTCCAGTACTACATTCAAGGACATGCTTGGCATATGGTGGCTTATTTTCCCTCTCTTTCCTTCTAAGATAGATTAACAGAGTGTCAGAAGCCTGCAAGTAACTTGTGTCTGTCCCAAGCACACGCATGTAAAGCCAAAGTCTCAATTCAGGTAAATCAGCAGTAAATTCACCAGGGTAATTATCAGCTACTTTGGAAGCTGTTCACCAATCATGAACTAACACGCTCTCACCAAAGTTTGCTTTCAATGACATTTGTGCTTTGGAAGTGTTTTACAATGCGGTCCATCAGAACCGCTCTTTTGACGGTCACACCACAAAAATGGGGCGATCTACAAAAAGGAGAAAAATAAAACAGCGTAAACTTTTCAAAGATCATCAAAGGCAGGCTGTAAACTTGTCGAAGTGGACTCAGCTGTCATCGTGTGTCAGTTCATGCCTCCCTACCTCCTCCCAACCCTGAGAAACGAAGCAGCAAAGCAGCAGTAAGGAAGACATATTCATCAATACGAGAAATGCAATAGAGAGGGGAATAATAATACATCCAGAAGAAATAAGATTTTCAGAAGCGACTACTGATTTAGATTTGTCTGTTTCTGGGCATTCAAGCTAAGGGTATTTTAAACAGCCAAGATTTCAGGAAGTGCTGGACACCCAAATATAAAAATGGCACCCTGGAAGAGACCTCAAATTAAGCATCTAGTGATAGCAAAAGGATTCATTTAATTGTTTTTTCCATACATACCACTACTATTAACACTCTGCTTGATCCAGTCAACAAAAACACCAACATTTGTGTATACTCCCGGGTAGCTCTTCCTTCCACATCCCAAGCCCCAGCTAGTGATTCCATGAAGGGTGTAAAATCCCGAGTTATCTTCTGAAGGACAAACTAATGGGCCACCAGAATCACCCTGCACAAGGACAAAGGAATCTTGTTATGAGCTAACATCGCTCCTTATGTTTTTAAAATATCAGTTTAGCTACGAGAGGTCCCAGCTGCTCATGTGTTTGGGGGCTTCTGTTTTTAAAAGGCAGAGAAAGAAATAACCTTTGTTCAAGGGAAGTACCTCTTTTTGCAATAGGAGTAATTAAAATCCTACTATTAAGGAGTCTTTCACTGTAAATCACCTACCGCCTGTTTGCAAGAAAACAGTTCTTAGTGAGGTTTTAACACTCCCCTTTTCAGAACCCATCTGACCATACCCCAAGTGTCAGAAGGCAAAGGTGATGAGCGCAACTTACTGTGCACGAGTCCTTGCCTTCTTCCAGAGGGAATCCAGCACAGATCATCCTCTGGGTCACTTTACTGGGAAGATTTATGTAGTAGCTCTGACATGTGTCAAGCACCAGGATGGGGACTTCCAGCTGATGCAGTTTTTTCCCCCTTTCTCTGTCTTAAAGTAAAAGACATCTCAGAAACCAGTAGAGACATGAATTAGGGATTCCAGAAAGAAGCTTTACTCTTCCCCTTTTCAAATGGTCTCAATCTAAATTATCTGATTTCTTTCCTCCCACCCATTTTCCTGCATGTCTAGCTGAGCTTACACAAGTGAAAACTTTTTAACACGTCTGTTCTCCAGAAACTAATGTATAAGCAGAATGAATGTTACAACACAGAACATAGTATTTAAAACACAGCTACAGCACGCTCAACCTTCAAAATAGCAAAGACTGCATACCTTCATGTGCACCCCATCCGGTGACAACGCACACCCTCGAGGGCTGAACTGCCTCCTCCTTGGCAGGGAGGCACACTGGGCGCACGTAGTGGTTGAATTCTAAGGGCTCGGCCAGTTGCAGTAAGGCGATATCAGAGTCCATAGTGGTCTTATTAAAACTTGGATGTATAATATACTGCTTTACTGACCTTTTCTAGGAAAGCAAGGACATTGACATTTTCTGAATGCCTTGGAAATTTCAATCTTTAAGTAACTTTGGTTTTATTTCAGGCCATATGCAAGATGCATTAAGAGGAGGAAACATTTAAAAGCAGCTGCTGAAGCCACCAGCTTTCTTGTATTAGCAAGTCAAGATTATGCCTCTTGGACATGGATCAGGGAATGTGCAGGAGACTCCATCCAGCAAGCGTAGGAAAAGGGTCTTGGAAAAACATTTGTCCAGTCTGAGCAAAGTGGAAAGCTGTGCCCCAGTTATTTCTGTCTTGGTAATAGTCACCAGGGAATTTAGAGACAATACACTCCTCACTCACACATCCTCCAGGATACTGAGCTTTGGAGTTCATTACTGGTGAAGGCACAGATCTGTGTTGATACAATTTCTCTGACAGTCACACAAAAGCTGTTGTGTAACTGCAGATTAAGGTCAGCATGCCGGCTGTTAGACTGCTGCATCATGAACAATTTGGGAGATGCATTTTCATTAAAAACTATTTTCCAAGATTGATTTGGATTTTATTATTAAGCAGAACTTATAGTACCTGTCTGTATTCTTGCTCTGTAAGATCATGAAGTCCCGTTACCACCATCCATAACCCTCTGTACAGTTCCCTGAAAAAAAGGATAATTCTCAGGCTGGTTTAACAGCATTCTTGAAACCTGTGAATCTTAAAACCTCCTCCACCCCAAATAGACACTAGGCCCCTACATATTCCTGGGCCAACAACTCCTGAGGCCCATACTCCCATACAAATCTATGGAAATCTTCCCACTGACTTCTAGGGAGCATGAAATATTCTCATGATGAGGCAGTAGGATCTCTCAAACACAGCGAACCGAGAGAAAGGTCACTTTTATAAGGACTGGGGGTGCCTGATGCAGAACACAAGGGCTGCATGGCCCACATCATCCAGGGACAGTGAGGGTCCCTACCTTCTTACTGAAAAAACGGGTGACCTCTAAAACATTACTACCTATCAAATGACATAAAGAAATGCAACAGAAACCTTTCATTTCACCCTTTGGTTTCTTAACCAAACCCTCTCACTGCCTGAAAACCTGTCATAACTCCCTGATGAAATCAGTTGTGTAGAATCATTAAGCCACGTATGCAAATTCTGATGTGATGGGAACAAGCAATAGAGAATTCCTCCTTAATACTGCTCTTAAAGCAGTACCTTCAACACAGCGCAACGATACTCCTGACAAAGTTTTATAAACTAATATTTAGAAACTAAGAAGCCAAAGTCCAAAATTCAAAACAGCACTTGCATTTCAGATCCCCAGTTTTGTGGGGGTGGGGAAGAAAATCAAAGAAATGGAGAGTATAGATGTCTAAGCATCTTTGGCATTCGGGGCTTTTGAAAGCTTACCCTCATTTTCAAGTAACTGCAACTTCATTTGAAAACAGGCCAGAATACCTAATCATCAGCAATCCTGGGAGGATTTTTAAAAAATATTTTAATGACCCAATGTATGTGAATTTTAAATTAATGTACTTGTGATTAATTTGAACTTCAAAACAGGTAGCGTTCAGCCTAAGAGATGAATAAACAAATTGCAGTTTAGAAAGTATTTTAAAGAGTCCAAAAGTCACATGGACTATCCTTTCGTCTCCTCTCAATAAAGACAGAAAAATTGCCATGTAATCCGATTTAACAGATTGATAGGTTCTCAATAAGGGAATGGCATCAACCCTGTGCACAAAAGCCTCCTGTATGTTCTCCAAAATCTACACAAATTCAGTAATTTAAAAATTTTTTTCATAGGTTGATTCTACCTGGATGAACACATGCTCTGTAAATGACCCAAACACAAAGAAGTTACCTAAGAGTAAGTGATGGACGACAAGGGACTTAGTATCTTGTCATCTCTTCTGAAAACTGATCTGAATGAAAACCAAGCCTACAGGAGTAGGCTACTTACTTCCTTAGTAGCCACTATGATCCTAGTACATGTGTGTGGAGCAAAAGAATCCAGTGCGAGCTGTAAGTAGGTGGTAACCGAAACCGTGTCAGCCACCCTGGGCAGAACCACCAAGCTGCAGAGACGCACCGTGCAATTACAGACATTCCCAGGGAAAGGTTCATCCCAGTGTACTTACTTAGAATTAAAGCAGTGAGCAGCTGTGACAACCCATTCTTTGGCAAGAACTGCTCCTCCACAGATATGCTCATCTGAAATTTGTACACTGACCTGCCAAGGCCATGAGTATGGTACAGCTTCTTCACCTCCAATTATCCTACTGAAGATGAACCTGGGCTGATTTGAAGGCATTCCACAAATATCATCTGAAACAGAAAGCACTGATGTCCCAAGAAGAGCTACCCCATAGCTTCTCAAGCTTCCCCCCTCCCCTTTTTTGCTAAATCTGTCAACTTCCCTCAAAGGATCCAAATGTTCAGAGACAGCATGAGGACATGATCTTAGCAAAAACAGAGCTTCACCAAGATGAAAGCAACTTCTTACCTTCAAAAGTTTGAGCCTCAAACCTACAATGAATGTGGACTCCTCCCATTCCCCATCAAGTACTGGAGGGAAAAAGGGGAGTTCTAAACTGCTGGTTATTATTTTCAACTACCCTGTACAATTTGTAATTATTTTCACCAAAGCAAGTAGGTGTAAACTGATATACAAGCTGAAATAACGTCATTGCATTGCTGTAAATGACTTAACAAGATGAAGGAAACAAGAAAGATTAGCTTCTGCTATTCTAAAGCCAAAGCATAGAAGTGTTACTCTTCATCTTTTTATTTCCTCAAAATATCTTAATGAAAAATTCCGTGACAACTGCATCCATTAAATATTTGGAGAAAACATCATTTAAATCGTAGTCCAAAAGGTACTCCCTATTCCCATGAAGAAAATACAACTCAGGTTGGCTTACCTGTTGCAATCTGTATTTCTTCTTCAGTCATATCCATATCTTCAAATTCTTCTTCACTAGTTGAATCCAAAGTATCTAAATCTAGCAAATGAAAATAGCAAATGCGTTAGGAGGCTGTCTTGAGTGATATTTTTATTACAAAAATCACTTTTATTTCCTTTATTATAATTTTTGTAGAAGGAATAGATTTCTACAGTAGGGATCTGTGCTATTACATCTTCACGTGGTAGTAAAGTGCCATTTAAAATGCACCAAAATACTCTTACACAAAATAAAACTCTGAAGTTTTGGGTAGATTCATTGTTTCTCTTCACCCACTCAATAGGCCCTTTGTTTAATGCCTCAATAGGTTCACAATACAGTTTTTTCACTGAAACAATTTGTTAGATGAGAATCTCCTAGAGCAAAATAATTCTGAATAGCCAGATTCACAAGAGCCCTTTGTGCTGCCCCGAAGAGGCAGTTTCCCAAGTTACTGCTATTACCTGTTACATGAACAAAAGAGATTGTAGCTCTGAATCCTCCAAAGGTCTCTGTTTCATCAGAGTGAAAGACAACCAGCATCATAGCAGAGGAGCTTAGAACAGGTGCTGGTAGGGCAAATCCACAAGACTTAGCTAAAGATGAGAAAGCAAAGGTTCACTGCAGATTAACATGTACTTTTTCATCCTTATCTCAACAGTGGGTATCCAAATTCTATGTATTACAGCTCTCACAAGAGAGGGTGAAAAATAACTATGCACAAGGGAGGAGCAGAGATAAGCAGACTGAGGCTGAAGGACTGTTCTATTATTCCTGACAGTCTGTCCTTGTTCAGTACTTATCTCATAAGAACAAGGAGACTCTTGCATTATTTCACAAGAGTCTATTGCAGCACTCACTCATAGGTTGCCATTATGTATACAACACACTGGAAACCTGATTTCCCCTTGTTAGTGTTTCAGCACTAGCATCTGCTAGTGCTAATCTAAGCACCGGCATCAAGCAAGTGCTGAAATCAGTTGATTGGGACAGGTCTCCCGCTCGTTCAGTGTAAACCAGGGGAACCTCCAGCAAGGTGGCAAGAATTACATGAATGCTCATCTGGAGTGAAGAACAACTGGACTCTGAAAAGGAGACCTCTTGGGTGCTTTCTGTGTCTGATCGTTACTATAAAAACAAATTATTGTGTTATGCCCTTTTCTTCCTTTACATGAATTCAGAACTGCGTTTCATGTAGAATTTAAATACACAAAACTGTTCTGTTCAATGTGGTTTTGCCTCTGTAAGTGGAACAGAAGCAGCAATACCTGCAAGTATTTTTCAAGGTACCGAACCTATAATATCACCCGAGACTCTAGAGGCAAACTTGATTTTAGACTGAATAACAGGGCTCGTGAAAGTCATAAAAGAAATAGGTCATCCCCAAAATATCTCAAAAATCAAAAGTCAAACCAATTTCCTCCTCTTTTCCCACATCTTCATACACAGTCACTGCATCATAAGAGCAATCTTCACTCTCTTCTACTTCAAAAGACTGGTATGTAAGCTTTAAATAAAAAAAATGAAAAATTGAACCTTGTTGTTAAATTCACACAGAAAAAATTCAAAGATCTCGAATAGGGTCTTTAGTATTCTCAATGATTCCTTTAGGGTTTGGTTTCTGTGACATTCAGACCTCTCACAGGTGATACATAGCATATTACATTTGCTAGAAGAATCTGTCATGATAAAAATTAAACCAGGAAATCTTATTTTACTATAACCTAAAGGAGAAATCAAAACCTATCTGGCTTTTGGGGTGGAAAGTGATTTCTCTTAACTGCATCCAGCAGCATTATTCAAGCTTATGTTGCTTGATCCTGCTTGTCCTTAGCTGCATAATTTCTTGTTAACTCAATGGTGCCCACTTCCATTCTGTAGACACAAGAAGGGCTCATATTATACCTTGATTACATGGTCCTCTGGTGCACAAATAATCCATTGACAGCCTGCCATGTTGCTGTAGCTCTCTGGATAATGCATACTTTGTAACACCCCTTCTTCAAAAAGGACAGCTAAGGACTCACAGCCAGAATCTGGAAAACCAGGAAAACAAAAATGGAGGCATTGTGATTTCCTATTAAATCATTCACAGAAAAAAAATTTAAATCCAGAAAAACTCTTGTGGTGCTTTCACAAAGCTGAGAAAGCGAACAGGACAAGAGCAGCAAGCCAAATCCTCCTGTCTGAAAAAGATGTAAAGAAAAATTTTAATCTGTTCCCAGGCAGAAGAGCAATTCAACCCGTGACTATAGCATTCCCCTTTGGCTACAGGTAGTGCACCGCAGGCACAGGTACCTGTGTGGGGTGATAGAAGAGCAGGACACGGGCATGTCAGAAGAACATTTGCCAACTTTCTTTGGAGAGGAAAGTGGAGACATAAAAAACACAACCAGAGGACATGTCTTCCTGATGAGCTATGCAGTAGCAAGGCCCCTCAGAGGAGATTCCTCCCTACACTCTGCCCTTACGCTCTGCAAAGGAAAGAAACTAGCTGGAAAAGCTGCAGAAACAGGAACAACAGGTGTCTGGCTGTAACTGGGTTGTCCAGACTCAGCAGATGGCCCTTGGCCCTGCTCCCTAGTGATGGTGAACCACCCTGCACAGCAAAACTGAAAGCAATTCTCTACGACATGTACCTTAGCATTAGCTGTCTCCCTCAGGGCCTCTCCATGAAAGCATGCTTGGGACTAGCAAAGCAGCTTTCAGCTGGAAATTCTGCTCATTTGACTATCTTATTCAGTTTTAAAACATTCTGGAAGTAGGAAAGGAAATGAGATATTGTATAAAGTGGATGGAGAAGAGGCAAAGTTAAAGGAGGGCTTCTCTCAGCAGCATCTATCCTCTCTCTTTCGGGCATCCCAGTTTCTTCACAATGTCACACGGCAGCCTAACCACACTTGCCTTGTTCATAACATCATCCACATAGAAATATCATAGGAGCTTCCTCTGATTTATTTTCTCCCGAAAAAAATTTTCAGGTCACCACCCAAGAGTGCAGAGAGGTATATTACCAGACTTAGACTTACCAGGAAGAATATCTGGTGTAAGAGCTTTGTAGGTCATGGAAAAACCAGTTCCATAATCCTTGTTGTCAGAAACAAATTTCAGCGTTATACTATTGGAGCCAATCAAAATAGGTAATGGAAGATCTCCTCCACAGAATTTCCCTGAAATATAATATTAGAGAATAATCACTGTTTAAAGTCCTCAGTCACTTGAGAAAACTTGCATGTACCATTTTTAGTACTTAGCTATAAAAATTTTAGGATGAAAAGGAAATTGCCTATTCATCCTCTACATTCCCTATTAATCCATTAGCCCAAATAGATGCACACTATTAAAAACTGAAAATCCTTTACACCAGAAAGTCGTATGCTGACACAGTTCCCTACCAGGCATTTTCCATTCTTTTCTCCTCCCACACTCTTTGTCTTTTATTTTAGATCATACGTCACAATGTAGTCATCATGAAAACATAAGTAAAACAATCAACCGCAATGTCCTCATTGGGTGTACTTGCTGTGAGAACGAAAGAGTACGCTGACAGATTATTTCCAAGAATAAAGGGACGGCAACTCACCAACAAGTCTGTCATCTTTTGAATAGACTGATAAAGAATCATAGTCACAAAATGTTTCTGGCTCTATATCAAAGTGGGAAAAACGAAGCAATATATCGTTCCCTTCTGGTACAAAGAGAGTCCATACACACAATCTGGAACAACAAATGAGTTCCCGTTCACAAAAGTGCAACAAAAACACAACCACACCGGTACAGGGAATAGTTTCTGGTGAAAGACTGTGTTTTGTCTACTTACTGGTGGTTTTGATAGAACTGTTTGGGACTTCCAGGGAAATGTAATTCTCCTTCACTGTCAGGGAGTTTGCCATCCTGAATGCTACAAAATGCTGTGTTGTAGAGTTAAAACAAAATAGAAGGAATCAGGTTTGGCACATACGCAGTCATCTGTTCCACCAAAAAGCTCAAACATCTAGAGAATATTGTGAGACTCAAGATTGCTCAGCTGTACCTTGTTTCTGCTGGCAGACTGATGCTGGGTCTTCTCTCTTTATTTTGGGATTATGGTAAGTCAGTTTTAAAACACGTAATTTGGGAGCAAAAATGAAGCACTGCCAACGCGCTATCGTATTTTTTGTAAAAATGGCAGTGCTTGCTTTTTACCTTAAAGAAACTATTTGTTAAGTGAGGATTTCAGTATAAATATTTTTCAGGGAGTAAAAACGCATACTCAGGACATAAGAAAAGTGGTCATTGCAGCCCATTTGTAACAACGTCCTTAGCTATGTTACAGCAGGACACTTTTGCAACAGTACGATATGGTATTAGACACTTTAATAGAAGAAGCAGAAGCTTTCCTCTCCAGATAAGTGTCACTAGAAACACAATTACTTACAAAAATTACCTCCTCTTGCCTTTTCTTCTCCTTGCAAGGTAAGCCAGTAAGACATTTATCAACAATTACGTATATGAAATAGATGTGGGGGGGAGTTGCATTTGATTCATAGAAATAGACACCAGACAAGTAAATAGATTCATCACAGACTGCGCAAAAGTACTACTAATTTACCTCATACTTTCTGTTTAGAATCTATATTTTTATACAGAATCAACTTCACTAACTAGATTTCATGCATTGCTTGAGGTTCTGTTCTACATTTTTCCCATTAATTTTATTTGCATTTCAATAAAAATAGGGCTTTTATATATGTAGATGTCTTAAGGAAAATTCCTTTTTGAAGTCACCAGTACATAAGCACCACCCTACATAAGTAATTTTATTTTTTTTTTTTTTTTTTTTACAGAACCAGTAAGAAAGAAGTATATATTTAAAGTATACATTTAAAAGTGCTTTGATGAGTCAAGCTTCTTCATGTTTCTTCCTTCATAGATTATATATCAGACTATTTTTGGGGTCTTTTTATGCTCTAACACAGATGGAAGGTACTGAAAAAATACTGTACTCACCTGTGGAGCTTTTCATTTTCAGATCTAATAAAGGAGGGATAGGGAAGGGGGTGGAAAGAGAAGAATAAATTACTGTAGTTTTGTATTCATAATGTAGGCTTTTTTTTAATCCGCGTGAAATGGTAATTTTATACAGCTAGCACTAAGGCAAATTCAGATGCTTCTTGGGGACACAGTGCCTACAATAAACTAGGCTTAGAATTAAAACAAAATTGCAAGTTCAGGCAATGCTGACTTTGGAGTAAACAATTCTGGTGTAGCCACTTCTAGAATTAATCATACATTGATAGGCCACTGCTCAGTCTGAGCAGCACAGTACTCTCTTTATACGCACTCATTGAGTAAATACTATACATTTCAGGTAAGGGTAGCAGAGTCCAACTGCTAGCATCACATCAGGGACACAGAGACATTAAGCTTGACAGCAATTACAGTTAAGATCTTTTGCACCAGTGTGACAGTATAAAAGAGCGAGCAAGCAAAACCTAGTGCACTGCAATTGAGAATTGTGTTTTCACTTTACCTACCAGATCGCTTTTTCTGTTCACTGGAGCCAATACACTTGAATTACTGCAATAGTTGATCATACTATTTTTTCCTGATAATAAAATGGGCCAACTAGTAAATTTTTTTAATAAAAAGACCCTGTCTCTCTCTTTTCTTTTTTTTTTGCCTAATTGAAAAACAAAATATTTTTCAGAAGCTAAACCCTTTTCATTTTTCTCCGATATTATTTCGGAGGGTTTCTTTTTTTCAATCACCAGTTGAAGCTGGTTTCTAATGGGAAAGTTTTATCTTTTTTTCCCTCACAATTTTTTTTATTATCATTGACTAGCAAAACTTCTTAAACACCCCTCAGTTTTTCAGTTCTCTGTGTAAATTTTAACACAATCTCCTTTTAACAAAAATAGCCCAAACTGGAAGAAAATATTAATTCAGTTTCTTAATGCCCTGAGTGAAGTTCATCCCTGGATAGACTGTCATCTATATCTCCGGCTCCATGACTTTGGAAGTGATGGATAATTTTCATGCTGTTCCCCTGCATGGAGGGCATATGTAGCTTTCAGTTCTCTGTGTAAATTTTAACACAATCTCCTTTTAACAAAAATAGCCCAAACTGGAAGAAAATATTAATTCAGTTTCTTAATGCCCTGAGTGAAGTTCATCCCTGGATAGACTGTCATCTATATCTCCGGCTCCATGACTTTGGAAGTGATGGATAATTTTCATGCTGTTCCCCTGCATGGAGGGCATATGTAGCTTTTTGGGCAGAGAAAGCAAAAATGCTTCTGAGAGCAGGCCTTTTCCTCATGTAGTCAAATGTCTGATCCAACACGTTTTAGCTGAGAAAAATGACAAGTGACTTTGAAGAGGTGCGTATGAAATTTCAGACACTTTCAACTGGTGAATTTCCACTTAAAAACAAAAATACCAGGCTAACCGGCTAGCTGGATAAAAGGACCATTCTTAAAGTTTAAAAAAAAAAAAAAAAATACACACACACACATATATAGTCCAAGTAGGAGACAAAGTGGAAGAGAAGCAAATATTTACAATGTTCTCCATTTATTTTTGGCAACTGCCAATCAGTACCATATACTTAAAGGCATTGTGAAATGCTATAGTGCTTTGCCAGGAAAAAGGGGGGGGGGAGGAATAAGTGCTATATCTTGAAAAGATAAAATTAAATGAAATATTATTATGAGACAGAAGAGTTGTCAAAAGTGAAGGACACATTACTGTGAAGACTTAATACCAGCACTCATGTTCTCTTGAATCCAGGAAAGCACCGCACTGAGGTCTGTGAATATTCCTGGAGATCCTCTGTCGTAGTGTTTCTTCTTCTCATTACTTATCCAGCCACGAGCGCATCCCATCCCCCAGGAGATCACACCAGCAAGAGTCCAGGCACCATGCTTACGTCGGCATAAAAGAGGGCCTCCTGAGTCTCCCTGTAAAAAACAAGTATAAACCCACAGCTTACAAAAGTGCATGTGTACCACTGAGCAAGCCTTAAAGAGTTTATTGAGTTCTCTTTTGTGCCATGCTAACAAACCTGCAGCATAGGGAATAGCAATTTTAAAAAAACTGTGAAGAAAGGCACTTTCTTTTTTATTGTGTTTAGTCAGGATTGTCAAGACAGGGGGAGAGAGACTAATTCCCTCATGGGGGCGCATCTGTTGTGTTTTAGCATGTAAAAAGGAGTGAGGAGCTTTTTTTTTTTTTTACCCCCATGACAAGGAACAATCACTTACCCTTCATGTCACTTCCTTTCCTTCCTGTAATCCAAGGCAACACGTTCTACTTTCCTCCTTAGGATCTGAGCAACATTAACTAACTAATTTATCAAGTGTTCTGAAGTTAGAAAGCCCCAAGCATTATTGCACTGGAATGCATTGCAAAATTGCTCTCAGGAACCTGTCATACAACTCATACAATAATTAAAATGGAATGATGTAATTAAGTGCATTGCCCCATACAGAACCTTTGAAAGAATTCACACATCAAAATAAATACACTCCAAATATCGCATTTTACAGTGTGTTTATTCACTTAGGCACACAGAGCCTTGAGCTTCTGAGAAACACTGGTAAGTACACAAGGCCCCCTGTTCAGCTGACCTGGCAGGCATCTTTTCCTCCATCTGGAAATCCAGCACACATTACAGTGTCACCTTGGATGGGTTTCTTTAAAGTTGATAATGCTCTTGAACACTCCTTACTGTTTAGGATTGGTAGATTGACTTCATATAAGACCTGAGGGAGTACTCCATCTGAAATACAAAAAAAATTGCTCATAAGAAATGCTGAAAGGTGAACTTAATGTCACTGCTAATGCACAAAAAAAAAGTTGTAAACTTGCTCCAAGCCATTTTATGGTTACATAAACATCCAGTTTTGCGTACATAAGCAGTTTTACTTCAATAAATTTAAAAATGTTTCAAAACTGACATACAGGTCTATATATTGCAGCGATCCATTTTGAGATAATTCACGGGTAGGCATAGAAGCTAGCAAAGATCCCATTTTGAGATTACAATTCTTATGACGAGTTGATGGTTTTTTCTGCTCTATGACCTATGCAATCAAGCTCTTAGCTTCAGAAATAAGACACTGAGAAACCTAAATGTCAAAGAACAATGAGTGGCTTACTCTCATTTAAACGGCCCCAACCACAAGCGGTGCAGATATATCCTGCTTCAAACTTCTCACCTGGATCAGGAAGACATGCTGGCAAAACTGATGAACCTGCCACACATGGACATGAATTTTATTGGTAAATATTTGAAACAACAACAACAACAACAACAAGAAGCTTCCTTGCTCAGTTAGGTTTTTTAAAAACTAAAAAGTATTGTTATTTTTGTGGCATCTGAAAAATTAATCTGGCATTTGACAATTTATCTGTGCCTCCACTTCGTCGTGTTTCGGAATGGAAAAAGAAAGCCAGGAGCGCCACAAGCTTCAGCTCAGGCCTTGCCATTCAGCTTGAACTTAGCTGCTATCATGATACAAACTTCCATTAGAAAAAGCAGTCGCTCACCTTTGCGGCGGCAAAGAAGGAGCAACCTAGTGACGTGAGCTGGAGCCTTTGGAAGAGCAAAGTGTGTGCACCTCAATATTACGTGGAACTGACGTGAAGTAGCCTTTCAGAAAACCTGACCGTAAGGCAAAGTCAGCGTACAGCTGAGAAATGGCTGGCTTACAGGCCAGGAAACGGTACTACCGGCTGTCCTCCCCTCACCTTCCCTTTCCCCTTACAGCCCCCAGATGGACCATTCTGCCACGACCGAAGATAATCCCACGCTCCTGTCTGCAGTCGGCAGGAAGGGAAAAGGGGGCAAATAGCAGAGGGGGTGTGAGTAAGGTACAGACCGTACTGCGGTACGCTCTGAGCTCTGGTCTGCCTTTGACTAGCTTTACTGTTCGCCAGAGGCAGAAGTCTCCCCCTACACCTTAGATAAAAAATAATCACCCCTTTGGTCAAATTTCAATCTCCTGCATACAAAGAACAATACCTTTTTCTTCAAGGGGGTATTAAGTCTGAAGAAGACCTTTTAACTCAACTGATAAATTTTTCTGACTTACCTCTGGTATTTTAAATACTTCAGTTGCAAAATACTCTGGAGATTTTTAGTGGTGTAATCTGACAGCTGGGAAATGGGTTCAAACTGAGTTTCAAGACTTTTCACAGCACGTGGGAGAAACAAAGGCCTTACCTTCCCCACTGAAAAAGATCACAGATAACTACGGCCTTACTGAAGTTGAAGGCTCCATCCAGCTTCAGAAGGGCAACGTCATAGTTCATCGGCCTTCTGGGGTCAAAGTTTGGATGCTTAATGACATATTTAACAGGGAGTGTCTGCTCGCCATTCTCCCTGATCCTCAAATCATGCTCTCCTGCAGTGACATTCAAGTACTGGAGTAGGTTCCTGTAGAATAGAAAAATAAAAGTTCAGCTACGGAATCTTCAAAATGAAAGGAAATATGTAGTTGTTTTTAAACAGAAAAGTTATTACTACTGATACCTAATACCTTTCATCTTCAGATTTTAAAGCACTTAATACGTACAGTCAGCAAGAGCTGAGCATGCCCCACAGTAGAAACTGGGAGATGGAAAGGGCTGAGAAGAAAGATGATTTAGCTATACTCCTGACTGAGGTTTGGTGGTCCGCTAAGGAACCAGGTCCTCTTACTGTGTTTAAAAATGTTCAGTCACACTGCTTTTTGAAGAAGGAGGGAAGGTTTGGACATAGGAAAGTACAGAAAAAATAAGACCACTTCTCTAGCATTCTCAGTTTATACCTTAAAAACATAGTGAATCCTGCTTTAGGGCTTCTAGTACCAGATCAGATGTGCAGCAAGGAAACACAAAAGCAATCATTATAAACTTTTTATTCTGCTTCAAATTTATTCACAAGACTTGAAGAATCACTTTTGTGTCAGGAGGCTTTATGCTGATTTAGATATTGCCTGTCCTTCTGTAGTTAATATAAACCCTGCAGTTATTGGCTAATTTGACCAAGATGTGATCACATACAATGCCAGATACAGATCAAATTTATAATTCCAGGTGACTTAGTATGAAGATTCAGTATTAACTATAAAGGAATTAGAATCTCAGCGAAGCCACCACAGAATCAGGACTGAAACCTTCCATACAACATTCACAGACCTCTTTTTTTTTTTATTAAGCACTAAGACTGAAAACCATCAGCATGCAAGAGGTCAGTACTACATCCATTCGCCATTTAATTGCATATACTCTGCCAGTTGCTACCTCTCTGAAGAAAAAAAATTGCAGTCACCTGATGATTATAGTTAGGTACAGATTTTTACCTACACTTCCAAAATCAGTGTCCGCCAATCCCTGTAAGTTTATTTTATTCTTAATTATTTTTGAGATGTTCAAAAGTTTATTTTTTTCTCCCTGTCTGTTAAAGCATGAAAATATTGGTTACAAATGAAAGGGTAGCACCTGTAAGTAATCGCCACAAAAAGATGCTACAGCACACACACACACACTTTTACAATCAGTGTTTTTCCACACCTGCAGCCTGCTCCTGAAATACCACATCCATACCTGTCTAAGACGCAGTGAGCTGCCGTGACCACCCACTGAGCAGAAACAATGGTGCCTCCACAGAAATGCTTTTGCCTTCGTTTCAAGGAAACCTGCATCACATAAATGCGGCACGTCAAATAAAGAAAATCTTTAGATCTGCTCCGATTGCACGTGAGGAAGAAAGGAGAGAGTACATGCAGGTACTCCCTGAAGATTCACACAGCTAAAGTACATGCTGCATTTCAAGCGAACACTCTTTCGTGGCATTCTTATGGTCCTCGAATCTAAGGGATCCTAAACCTTGCTGTTCCCGTCAGCTGTGACTTGGTACCTGGATAAAAGCGACATACACGTAATAAATGCCAAGTCACTGAGGTACTCGGCACGCTGTAAAGGTTACTAGTTAGTTGAGATTTTTTCCTTTGCAGGTCGCTGGGAGCACTGGAAATCCATGATGCCTGACAATAGTCGGGGGCTGGCTGTGGTGTCCTTCGGTCTCCTCCTATTTTTGAGTAGTTTCACCCATGCCTCTTTACAATAGACTAATCTACAGATGCTCTTTCAGAAAGAATGATAAAATAATAAATGATAAGCAAAGGTTTCTTAGAGAGCAGGACAGGTTCCGTGTCCTCTCTGCCTGCTTCACTGCTTTTCATAAAAGCAGAGAGGAGCTCAACAACACACCGTAAGTGTCAGTAAGCACAAAATACCCGTTTTCTTCTTTTGTCATTTCTATGAAAAGTCAGGACTTTGTTCTGAAGATAAAACCACATTTGCTTGTGCAAACCTGCCATGGATGTGAGCCTTGTTTCACCTGGTTTCCCCCAACAATCCGAGTGAAAAGGTTAAGGTAACTCCATGGTTTTGTCTCTTGAACTTTCTGACCGCACTTAGGATCTGAGGAGTAAAAGGGGGAAAGAAGGAAAGATTTAGACTGGATTTAAGTTTTTCTACTTTTTAGTAACAGAGAATTGGAAGGCATGGCCTGGCGCAGAGGTCAGTGCAATCTCTCTGCCACGACAGGAACCTTCTTATAATTCCTACTACAAACTGCCCAGACTAAGGCTAAATTGGGCTAAGAAAAAGGCGATGTACTTTATTTTGCGGAAGTTCTCCAAATGAGCACTTTTTGGTTTAATTGTATCACAAATACTAAATTTTGCCTTCCATGAGGAAATATATGTGTGTGTGTATATATATGTTAATGTTCTCGTTAGGTCCATGCTTACTTGAACTTTCTGAATGCCAACATTCTCTTTCAAGCAAATTTTGGGATTATTTTGGGACTAAGTAACTGTTTCATTATTGCTTTCAGAAATCTCTTTACACCCAGCATTTGTACTTAAAATATTTTGGACAAACGGGGTCAAAATGCACACCATACAGACCTTGATGACCAACAACAGTGGCTGAATTTCTCCAGAACATCTACTACTAGGCCAACTTTATTTCTTCTTTACTCACTATTGTTGTCATCTACTATGGCTAAGTAAAGCTGATAATATTTATGTATTTGTAAAGGAGTATATTTATAGAAACAAACATTTGTGGTGATAACTACTGATTTGGTAGTATTTTAAGACAGACAGAAGCCAAGCAACCAATTCTGCCAAGCAGCATATTGTAACAGAGGAATTCTTTGTAGTGCAATTCCCAAACCCAGCAGTGGCCACAATTTTTTTTTTTCTTCTTAAAGCTGTATGAGAACTCAATGAAGCCAAACACCTCTCATACATTTGACTACAAATTCTGTTAAACACTACACTGGGAAAAATTTAGCATCCATAAGCTTGGAACGTTTTGTTGTTGTTCTGGCAGGTAGGTGGCTGTATTCAAAGGATGGAGGACCAACACTTGTATACACGTCTGGAAAATGTGGAATCCTCCAAACCGCAAAATGCAGCTTAAAACACCTGTAAAAAGGGTTTTGCAATCATCCTCAGGATTAGCATGGCTGATGCAAGTGATTACAGTGCCACAATAATGCTGACACAATTCTACTCACCCTAGCTTTTAAATAAAAAAGGCTTTATCTAGAAATGATCCAGTTCATTTATCTGATTTCTTTCATTCTTTCCTAATTCTCAGTGCACCCACCTTTTTCCCATGTGCAAAGATACAGTGAGGAAAGGGGAAAGAGGAAACAGAGACAAAATTTAAAAAAAATAGGATTTAGGTTTTACCAAAAGGAATTTGGTACTGAGGAAATGGGCAAAAATAAATAAATAATAATTAAAAAAAATCAGATTCACAATCTAAAACTTTCCTTTTTTCTTTCAGCGTTGAACAGGTTTATTTTCCCAACATATGCAAGATTAGTTTAAAAGTCACAAGTTAATATTTATATTAATATTATACCAGGCTTATATTATCTATATTTTTACAAACTCTCAAAATCTTCTGCTCCGTAGCATTCGTAAGCCCAAGAGATTCCTGCCTGCTTTACAGACTGCTTCAGGACCAATGTCCTTCACCGGTCGGATGAGAGATTTCTCCGTAAACTGCATCACATCCATTTGCATGGCAGGACGCTGAAGCAAGAGAAAACCATTCTACAGAATACTATGCTTTGGACTGCTTAAGTGAGCAACTTATTATGACGGTTTTGATACCACATCTGTTTTGACAGTCAAAATAGAGTTTTTACAGTGAAAACAAGTGATTTGCAGAATTTAGGAAATCGAGCTGTAAATTTCCCTTTTTTACTACTGCAAATTTAAAACGGAAGCAAAATGGTTATGCAAACAGCCAAGCTCTGGTTTCCATTCCAGTTTGCCATAAATCAGTAAATCTTCATGAGGAAACAGGAACAACTGCAATCGTTAATTGTTCAAAAAAAAGAATACTCTGGATTTTAAGATGTAAGACAATGGAAGAGAGGACTCACTGTATTTTGTTTGCAGCCCATGGGTAACACGCTAAACCATGACCTTCATTAACTTGCTGCAAATCTGAGAGTATCTAGTTTTATTTATTTAACTATAAAACATATTCATTTAATGTTCTTCATTCTGAATCATCAAGGAATCAGACAAAAGTTTCATAAGAATTACTCATTAAAAGATAACTTTCAGTTACAGACTTGGATTGGAACAAAAGCAAAGAATGAAAACTAGACCAATTATTCTAATGCTACCTTGTGGCCAGGTCTACGAGCTCCTAGGGTCAAAAACTTAGGGGGTGAAACTAGCGTGGCTTCTTTATTTCAGCACTGACTGCCATGCTTGTCACTGCCTAAGAATAAATCCATCAGTACTTAGAAAACTGTTAAAGCTAGACGTGAAATTTTCATCCTACCTTTCTGAAGAGTGGATGGTACAGCACGGAACTCTGTAATACAAACTATCCCCGTCAGGAGTAACTGCAGCTTACTGGGGGCAATGCGCATCTTGGGGTGCTAAATGACTGAGTGAAAACAAGGAGAGTTTTTATAGGGAAAAAGAAGCCCAAGTACTACGCTGCAGGAGAACAGCAACTAATTGAAGTAGAAGTTACTCATTAATCCAGCCATAAAGCACTTACCTGCACAAATAAGTTTTCCAAATTTAACGGAGCATGATTCTTTTATACGCCATTACTGAAGCCTTTGCTGTAAAACACTAGCTAAAATCCTCCCTAAAACTAGTTTCCTCAGGCAAAATGACAAAATGACTTTACCATTGCATGCTTTCCTAGCAGCACTTACCCAGGCTGATCTACACATCGAAGTAGAACATACATGAACAGAATGTCAACTGCTATTTGCCCCTACAAGTTCTACAGCTCTTGAAGAGGCAATGCTCTATTTCCTGCACACTTTCTATTTAGCCAATTTCACAGACCTGAGAAACATAGGAAAAGTTCATCATTTTGTTGGCAGCATCCTCCATGTTGTATGAGACAAAGATAGCTCTCTGCATCAAAGTGTCATTTTTTCAAAAGAGCAGTGTTTACATCCCATTTTTGAACATGAACTAGCAAGGACAGGGCTCAGCTTTTTAAAAATATTTCAGTATTGCTGCCATCAGCAGTGCCAGTTCCGAGTCACTTTGATGGCTAAGCTCCACTTTTAATAGCAATTTAAGTGCAAGTCTCTTAGAAGGCTATTCAAATCCTAAATAAGGAACACACCAGCAGCTAAATTAAAAGATTTCACAAAACAGAAAGCATAAGTGAAATCACCCTGTGAATTCACCACTTAAAACTTTTGTCTCATCAGTTTTAGCAAGTATTGCCTGGCTTGGAAATGAAAGAACAAAGTGGTAAATACAATTAAAATACTATCTGAACTCTCTGAATACTATGAATTCATATAAAATATAAAAGCACCAAGACAGACATTAAAGTCATCAAGAGAAGCAACAGATTTACTCTGGATGACAGAAGCCACAAGTTTCATTTGTACCAGAAAGGGCAAGGGATATTTATACCAGGGAACAAGACAGGGGAAAACATTGTTTGTTTTCTTGGCTTCCCCTCGCTTTGTAAAAAATAATTCAGTATTTCCACCTTCAATATTCCCCCAAGAAACATAATTTTCACATGGGAAACGCATCAAACTTTGAAGACAGAAACATGGGGTAAACAATACATGCATGTTAATAGGAATTTAAGTCTTGGACACCTTCATAGTCGTAACCTATTAAAAGTACATTTTTTCAAGATGCCAACAGGTAAATGCAAAATATATCTTCTTTTAAAATAAGTTGCAACAGTAATTAAACAGTTTCTCTTTTTGTGGTTGTCCATTACTATGGACAAGACTCATGTTTTTTAATTCTGCTCAGGCTCCCAAAGAAAACAGTCTTATACGTGACCCATCAGCCCCAGTCTATTGAATATGTTCTGTTATTTGGCCAAGGATTTCACAATACCCTCCCAATCCACCATCAGTCAAAATCCTAACAATCATTTATGTATTTATTCAATTCTAGGGTTTTGTTTTTCTTTTCCTCTGCCAGTCAGAGGATAACAAAAACCAGCTTTTACTCTGAATATGTAATTTCATAACAAACAACTGAATACAAAACCTGGCCTAGAAACTTTGAGTTGCAGTTGTTTTTTCTGTTATAAACATACAGAACTTCTTAAGACTGCAGTTTTCTTACAGGTCCTGTGGAGATCCCCAATTCTACAACTTCTGAACCCTGCATCACCAATATCATTCCAGCTCTAATCAAAAACTTTGAAGGCTGCTTTCCTTCATTAATTCCTTTGTATTTTGCAGGGACAAAACAAAAACCCCAAACGCCCAAAATCAGTTCCATGTACAGTAAAGCTCTCTGATCACCCACCACAATGGCATCCTTTGGAACAATGCGATCCGACAGGATGATATAAAAACAAGAATAAACAATCTCTGCAGTCGTAACTGACACTGTGCAAACTGCATCTGTCTCATTACTGATGAGAAATAGAAACATCCAGCCCACTGGCAAACGGAGAAACAGTCAGCGCATGTCAAATTTATGACAGAGAGGCAACACTTACTGTGCAGCAGCCAAAGAGGTCAGAAAGAAAAAGCATAGAAGGGCACGTTCTGTACAACCTGCTCCTTGTCTGGGATGGCAAAACAGAAGCGCAGGCTTTCTTGTCCCACTATTCTTTGTTCTCCTCTTTTGCTACCTATTTATCTTTCTCCTGAAGCTGTTGTTATCTTTATCCTGTGTGCAGGCAGAGGCACTAATGACTTTACCTACTTCCCCCACGGGATAGCTGCTATTGCTCCCAGAACTCGCAGCTTTGGCAGGCAGCGCCGCCAGCATCATTCCTCAAAGAAAGGCAAAGGTCAAATCTTACGACTTGATCTCCATCCACGCATGTGCTCCGAATCTCAATGCAGAGCTGGCTCTGTATCCTGTTAGCATCCTGTACCTTTGTAGTAAGACAAATCAAAGCCATTAAATCACCAAGTGTCCAAAATGCCCATGTGCTTGGTACGTAGGCCTGATCCATGTTTTAGTAGGTAGAGCCAGTCCCTAGCCCCAAATTAATGCGCTAATCGATGCTAGTCAGTCTGGCCTGTCCCTCCTTTTGCTGTGCATTTGATTTACAAGCATTTTATTCCCCAAAGTATGCTTGATGCTGTAGAAATATATAAAACTTCTTCTTCCTATGAGATTATTAAAAAAATAAACATGCACACATACAGATAAGTTTAAGACCAAAAGAAAGCAAAGAATATAGCTAGAATAGAATAGACTAATATTCATCATCAGAACCTTCCAGAACGGTTGCTCTGTTTTTCTGGTTTTTGAGGGGTTTTTAAAGGGGGACGAGGGCTGGAGGGAGGGAACGCAGGCTGCTTTTCAGTGAAGATTAGTGGACAACTGCGATGGCCAGACTGCAAGACGTAAAAAACCACTTTCTATTCTTGCTAGAAAGGTTGCTTTGTTGCTCCTCCTGTCCAAGGAGGAAGAAAGGTGGAAAATTTATTCAAGTAGTGACAATGCGAAGTTTAAGAGAAGAGGGAACGAGGAGTGAAGGACAGAGGGTGGGGATGGTAAAACAAGCAGCAAATGCTGGTTAGTAATTAACCTGTTAGAAGATCAGTAGAAAGGATACATTTAAATTGGAGGGCTTTTTGTTGGGTTTGGTTGTGGGTTGGTTTGGGTTTTTTTTAAATGCAATGAGCTGTGCTTTCAAGGGTCACTGATCACATCCAAACCGTTTGCAAGGTCACTGCTGGAAAACCTGTTAACTCAATGACATTAATGGTTTCATACTTAAAACAAGATATAATGTCTTAAAAATATCAAACTTCATAAATCTTATCATTCATGTACTACACTTATGAATCCAGTAGTTCTCAACTGAAAGCAGACTTAAATAGGGTTAAATGTATTTATGTTTTGATAGTTGTTCATGAATTCTGATTTTCCAACAAACTTATTTTTCACCAGTTTTAGCCTTCTGTAATTCCAATGACTTGATTCCAATTATGCCAGA